ACACGTTTCAGAAAGGCGGGGCATAGAGGAGAAACAATAATGTACAGTATGTGGAAAATAATGTTTTTTTTTACCTTAAACCGCATAAACACATTTCATTACACCAAATACACAAAATAATGTTCTTTTTAGCAACATCATATGACCCCTTAAAATTTTTTATAAATAGAATTGATATATTTATTATTTATCTATATTATTATTGTTATATAGATATTATATATTTATTTGAAACAGAAATATTCTGTAACATTAGAAATGTCTTTACTTTCACTTTTTTGATCAAATTATTGTGACCTTGCTGCATAAAAGTATTAATTTCTTTCAAAAATCCACCGACTTTTGAACCTTTGTGTATGTGTATATACTCACCGGAGAATGAGTACGCACACAGCAACTAGAGTGTATGCCAGCAGGGTCCCAATCGACATCAAGTCCACTAATGCGGCGAGATCAAACAGGAAGGCCATCAGAGCTACAGGGAGGAAATTAACGAGATTCTACAGTTAAGCCCCGTTCAAACCGAAAACGATAACTATAAAGATAACGATATTAGCGTCAACACCAGCGGACGATATCGTCTGTTTATTCTAAGCGCATGCGTGTCTGCCGCTTTAAATTCTCGAGCTCGTTATAGCAGGATGGATTCTGATTGGCTGTCAATGTTTGTATCGTTCATCAGCTGGAAAAATCGTTCTGAAAATGATTCCAACAATATTGTTTCTCTGTGCCTTTATCGTTGTAGTTGTAGTGTGGACTCTGCTATTATTTAATATTGAGAACGATTTTTAGAACTATATATTTATCGTTATCGTGCTTGGTGTGAACGGGCCTTTAGTCACAATTATTAAAAGTCACATCATCAATTGACAGTCATTACATGAATAAAAATAGTCTTACCTGCTACGATGCCAGACACAATGGTGGCCAGCACAGGTGTCTTGGTTTTCTTGTGCATGCGGGAGAGGGAGCGAAAGAGCAGACCATCCTCAGCCATGGCATAAATCACACGAGGCATAGGGAACATGGAGCCCAACAAGCTGAAGAACATAAAAAAAAAATTGTCATCACTTGACTTTAAGCAGGGTTACTATAGTCAACTAAAACATTTTCGTTATTTGAAATAAATGTTAACTGGAAAAAAAAAAAAAAACCTTTCAACTAGTTTCCAAGGCTACATTTCTCATTTTCATTTAGTTTGACGATGTACTAAAATAACTAAACTAAAATGTAAAAACATTAATAAAAACGATATACACATTTAAAAACAACAAACACTAATACAAATGACAAAAACAACAACAACAAAAATATTAAAACAGACATGAAAGCAGATCAAATTTAAAAATAAAAATCTAATTCAAAACAATTGTTAAACAATTAACAAAAACTATAATAGTGTCTCAATAATACTAAAATAACTTTAAGCCAATGTCAATAAACGTACCTGGTGGAAAGGGCACACAGAGACCCCACCGCCACAATATAGCGAGCAGGGTCCCAGTGCACATATTGAAAGGCCTCTGGAAGTGGACTTTGAACATCCAGCTTGTAATAGGGCATCATGAGTGTGAGCGCTGCCGACACTCCGAAGTAGGCAAAAAAGCAGATGAGCAAAGAGGCCACTATGCTGATCGGGATGGAACGCATGGGGTTTTTGGCCTCCTCACCTAAGACATCACCAGAGCTGAGGTGAGTTTGGTTCTAAAAGTAGGACATACTGGTTTTCACGTCATGTTTTTCGGAACTTACTTGTGGTTGCGATGCAGTCAAAACCCACAAATGCATAGAAGCATGTAGCAGCACCAGTAAGGATTCCACCCAAGCCAAATGGTGCAAAGCCACCTGAGCCGAACTCTTTTTCAATGATCCTAAGATGTGAAAGAGTTTTCAAAATTCAAATTTACAATGCATATTCATATATACATATGTGTGTGTGCGCATTTTTTTTAAATAATTTGATATATACTGTATATATGTTGATTATATGTAAATAAGACCGTGTTTTAACTCTATTTCATTTATTTACTTATGTAACTTTTTTATGCTTACTAATATTATATTAATTTAAGTAATATATATACAGATTCTATTATATGTATTCAATTAAAAAATATATTTTTGTTTACTACCCTTAATTTTTAATATTCATTAATTAATTGTAATTTTTATCTTATCAAATCTATCTTTCTTGCAATTTAGTTGTATACCTGTAATCAGTAATTATGCTACTGACCCAACTGGTTGAGTTTCATTTACATTCTTAATTGTATTTTCTTAATTTCTATTGCTATGCCTGCATCTAAATGTTGAGGCAGCGTGACTTACTCTGCATTATAGTTGTTTGTGCTGTTAATGTAGTCCTCCACAGTGAGGTTCCAGTTGGCAGTGTCGCCTTTCACAAAGCCCGATATAATGACAAATGTCAGAACCACCAGGTTGATTCCTGTGAAGATCTTGCTCACAAGAGCAGACTCACTCACTCCAAATGCCAATAATCCTGTAGCGTGGGAGGTGAGAGGTAGCAAATTCACATCATTATGGTCTTTTGCAAGGCAATGGTGAAAAGAAAGTGTGAGAAACAGTCCTATGACTAATGGGTACATTGATAAAGCGGACCATTTAAAATGACTTAATTGCTTTAGTGTAGCTGGTGTGGTAGAACCAAAGAACCTTTTCTCTTTTGGCACCACTGCCAGAAACACACTACCAAAAGCCAGTAGTCAGATAAGTAGTGAGTCAAGAATCATCATTCTGGAACAAAGATCCACTGGCTTATTGGAATAATCCAAGATCTTGACTTTAGAAACACTTTGTGCCAACTGAGAAGTAACTGGGCATCATCACATTACCGTTGAGTGATTCTTAGAAAGAAAAAGGTTCTCACCAGTGAGCAACATGACCAGGATGAGGGCAAACACATCTGGATATTCCGCTAACACTTTTCCAGTGTATGGAAATGACATGGAATCAGTGAAAAAGTCAGAGATGGTTTTGTTCACTAGATTGTCAAACGTTGAGCTCCAAGCCCGTGCCACACTAGCTGTGCCTGTGAAATGGAGAAAAGGACATATGACATGAGTAGATGCAAAAGACTTCAGAACGTCCACTTATTATGTTAAACTTAAGCAGCTGCTCAAGGGCCCTTCGGGCTAGAATAGTAAACACGTCATACAGTTTCAAAACCACTTCAGCTCATTCGTAATCACATATAATTGGTCAAACTCTTGGGCTCACATTCTGAACTAACTTGTGGAAAAGCTAATGATTAATTAGTATATTTGGATTCAAAAGGGAAAAAGTATTTTCAGTCCAAATTAAAGTCACATATTAATCTAGTTTCTAAAGATAGTATCTACACACTCACCAATCACGTATGACAGAATGAGGTTCCATCCCGTGATGAAGGCCCATATTTCACCCACTGTCACGTAGCTGTACAGGTAAGCGGATCCCGTCTTGGGAACACGTGCGCCAAATTCAGCGTAGCACAAACCAGCGAGAACAGAGGAAAAGGCAGCAATTAGAAAAGACAGCACGATGGCAGGTCCAGCCTTCTCTCGGGCCACTTCCCCAGCCAGAACGTAGACACCTGCACCCAGTGTCGCCCCCACCCCGAGGGCTATGAGGTCAAGAGTGGTGAGACAGCGAGCGAAGCGGGTTTCGTCCTGAGAAGTGTCCAGCACGCGACGCCTCAGCAGCATCTTCCCAAAGGAGGCCAGTTTATTCTCAGCCATGATGGATAACGTTGAGGAGACTGGGATAAAGCTGAAGGCACTAAAGGAGAAGAGAAATATATATATATAATTGTTTTACAAAAAAGTGAGAAAATGTTGCCTTTTTTTGCTAATTAGGTCAAAAAATGAGTGGCCTGATTAAGATGTTCATTTTGAGGAAAATTAACCTAAAGCTCAAAAGGACACGACATTTTTAAATGTTTGTCTTGACCTGAAATAAACACTACAAAGTGAACTCCTAATGCTCATTTTGTGAATGGCTCTTTATACTAGTCATTTCATGTAAAGGGCATATAAAAGGGCGGCTGTTATCCACCACACCTGCAGACACTGACAGAGCAATCACTCAGCACTTTACGAACAACTCATCTGACCACAGGGCAGTTCAATCCATCAGGAAAATGAGTAAGATTAATATCTAAGAGGTTTGGCCGTTCATTACGGAGTCATAATTCATAAAGTACAACAGCTCCAAAACCTAGATAAAGAGCACTGACATTGGTGTGGATGGAAACAATTTTCAGGTAAGACCAAACTGATTCATCACAATTTACTGGCTAGATGAAAAGAACAGGGTGAAATGGGAAAAGCACTACGTCTGATGTCAAAGAGAAAAAAAACAACAGCAGACATTTAACAAAAAAGAAAGTATAGCGGTAACTAACCCTCTGAATGCAGATTGGTGAATATTTAAAAAGGTCAGAAATTTGAATACACCATTTACATAATGCAAATATTAACGGCTGTTAATAGTCGCAGTCTGATCCGCTGCATACTTTTCACTGAGAAATAGAGCAATGCAGGAATGGGTTTCTTGTGTGGTTTCTGTCCAGCAGCTTAACTAGTCATACATGTTTGATCAGATCCCGTCTATGCCACTAACTAGATCACACTAGAAGTAAACCCGCACCTGTGTACACCATTATCTATCAGAAAACCTCTGGCCCTTAAGTATTTTTACCACATTCCTAGATTTCAAAACATCCTCCTTCATAAAAATGAAACAAGGAAGACTGTCTAAAAATAAAGTCTTACGGTAAACTGCTCAGTAGAGGACCTCTCTTTCTCGGAAAACATTTACTTCCTTCTAGGGGTATTGTATAAAATTAGTAGCAAAAAAAAAAATCACTAACTTTAGAACAAAGCAAACTAAAATCTAGTCCATGAAAATGGTGGTTAAATATGTTAGGTAGTGGATTGTTATTGTAAAATACTGTGATGATTATCAGTAAAACCAGTTAAAGTGTTGCCTCAGACACTGATATGACTGAATATCATATGTTTATGTTTAGAGGATATATTATTAATTATGTTCCAGTATATCAGACTCGCACATGTTACGTTAAATAACACTTCCTGTTAAAGGAAAGAGCAGCAGTCATGCACTAAGCTCTGGTAAAAGAAATAATTTCAAGCAATAGGCTAAAAGGTTTGGACAGTGTGAATTCACAGGTCAAGTGTCTGTCATCCTTGCTGGCAACCTGCTTCACCCTACTTTGTTTGATTGTTTGAGAATCAGATTCATATATTTGAAGATGATCCTTCAAAGCACTTGCAGCCCACATTCTTGATCCAAAGTGGCCAAGAGCCTTTTTTTGGGGGGTGGAGTATCAAAAATTAAAACTCTGCTCAAGTATTCCTGTTATATAATACTGTAGGCTTGATAGTGTCTATTTTGCTATTCAACCAGAATGGACCAGCAGCACCTGTTATGGCACACCTACATTTACAGCAATGGAATTTCAATGTGGCTTAATTAAACTATTTTAGAGCTCAACATTCTTTCAGTAGCCTGTTCATGATACTGCTGTTTTTGAGAGAGGCATGATACAGACACAGGCTTTGAGCTACATTCCAATGTACTGATGTGTTCAGTTTGGTGATTTATTTAAACTCATTATAAAAACCATGTTCAAAATGAAGCTGCACCTGAAAACCTGCCCACATGATAGCAGCATAATGATTGTCATTTGCAAAAATATAAACATATAGGCATATATTTCAGTATTATTATGGTATAATTATAATGCATTTTGCTAATGTGACCATTACATTTAAAACAATCCGAGTTTGTCAATTGTTTATATACATATGCTGACTAAATAAATAATAATAAAGTAGCGCACATGTAACATCTAAAGATACATAGGCACGCGCGCCATTTCTAACACGAGAACGTAATGATAAACATGGAATTTCCGCTTACGAGAGAAAACCTAATTCAGATGGTTTAGTTAACGAATAATACTCATACTCACTTTTTTTTAAGATTAAGAATGGAGTACCATAAGAATAATCGTTAAAAGGTAGTTACCCTCTTTTGAGACGATGTACTGAATATCCAGCGGGTCAGACAGAGAGACAAGACGGACGGACGATGCGCGGCGCGCGGGGAGCAGTCTAGAAACACGAGCAGCAGAACAGGACCTGCTGTATAACACTCATCCGGAAATCCTTTTAAGGAAACATTGTTTTTTTCCCCTCGGGGTCGGGTTTCTTCTGACGTCGAACAAACCCAATCGTAGTAGAAAGTGTTGCCATTGACGACAGGAATTGTTTTGAGCGAGCGAAATGGCTTTTCTTGTATTTTTGAAAATCTTGATCTGGCTGCATTTTGTAGTAAAAACACAAGATGACACAATGATTAGCGTCTTAGAAAGGACAATGTAAAACAGGAATCTTCTGCCATGCTCTCAAAACGAACCATAAAGCATACTGTAAATTATATTGTAATTTATTAGGGAAACGTGAGACACTTAAAGCAGATAATGTAAAAACATTAGTATCAAAATAAATTAGACTGAGTTACATTTTATTAACAAACTGTCACATTTTTTTTAGAAGCATATAAAAATGCATTAAACTGCATAGAAATTTTACAACTGTTAGAAAATTAAAACTTTCCTGGTCACTTCTTTTCTTTTCTCTAATTGTGGGAGAGAGAAGAGAGAGAATCAGGCAGAGGTATACAATTCTGCTTATACTTACAGCATAATACAATTATATTTATATTGATAATTATCTGTGCAATTAACTCAAACATGAAGATTTAACATGACATAACACTCACATTTAAAGAAATTTCTCAAAAAAACAAAACATTCTAGAAATAAATTGTGTAAAGACATTCAATACTAACTTAAATTCTCTTCAGTTCCTCTACGCACTTCTCAAGTTTTTCGTGCAATGGTCCCCAGTTTTTACACTCTATAAAAGATAATAAAAGTATGCAAAATATAACAAAACCAAAACATTATTTCAGAATGAAATGAACAAAGAGAGTAAAGTTATCAGAGAAAAATACTAAACATGAAAACTTAGATACCTGAACGCAAACCCATTAGTTCTTGAATGACCCTCTCAAGTTTTTCTTGGTGTTGTAAGCAATTAACACAACCTGGGTGGGGGTTAAAAAGATTGACAGGTTTGAAAATATTAGACACTGAATTAGAAAATGTACTGCATGCTCTCTAAGATGATAACAACCATCTAAATTCACCTGGTTCGTGTGATCCTTCAGCTGGATGCACAGCATCACTCTCTACTGTAGACAGAGCGGGTGTTATAGACACAAATACAAGAAATAAGTCAGAACGGAGATTTAAAATAAAAAAGCCATCATATTTCAAACACATTTGCTACAAAGGTTTAGTCTAGTCAAGATTTCTGTTGAACAATATGGGAGTAATTGAAAAAAAAAAAAAAACATTACGAATGCTGCAAATTATTATATATGGTTTTATGTTTACCAGTGATGACAAAAACCATTTACTCCAATCTACTAAAAACAGTGCCAACTAATCCTGTGGTACAAGAGAAAACTTTTATCTTATATTAGCACAGTTAAGTGTGGCTCTTAATTGGCTCTTTGGAGAAAGCAAACTTATTCAATCCAGGACAGAGAGAGAGAGAGAGAGAGAGAGAGAGAAGTGGACAACAGAGGACAAGTACATCAAAGGTCTAGTTTGAGAAACAGACTTCTCAGAGGTCAGAGGTTCAATAAATCCATGTTTAAGATGGTCAGAATAGTTTGATCATAAGATCCATGAAAAGGACCCAATGTGATCCTAATGAACAGAATAACAGAACTTACTTGAAACCAATAGTAATTTGCAATTTTGCAACATTTTATAATTTCTTAACTGTAATAATGTTTGACCAATTTAACGCAACCCAACTGGTAGTGTATATTTAATAAGAGGATTATTTAAGTATATAGCTATATACTTTCTTTTTTTTTGTATTTTTCCATCTATAATTAATATGGTGCTTTCTCTTATGGTGGCATGGATGCCAATGTACCAGCCTATAATTGAGTTTGAACAGCCCTATAAAATCTCCATTTCAAAACGAATGAAAAGAATCAATGGAGAGACATGCACACACAACTCCCGTAGAAGCATGAATTAAAAAGGCTTCGACAACAAGCTCCCAAATGCACCAGTCCTTTCAGCAAGGCTATTACTGTGCACTTCACAAAGATATCAATCAGTCTGGACTACAGCTAGTCAGACAGGAAGCTATCATGCAAATAAGAAATGTTCAAGACAGCTCTGTTTAATGACTCCATTTTCTAGCCCAGTTTCCTGGCGGCTTCAGACAAGAATATGCAATTTTTTGCGATAATGATATATTGGGAGATATCCTGTTTGAGATCTGTCCATGTGGCTTAAGGCAAAGGGTGGCTATTTCCCACATTTTAGAGACTATAATATTCTTGAATATTGCTTTGATACACCCAAAGCTTTTTGAACACCACATCTTATCATTTTTAAATAAACAAACATTGCCATTTACAATAATCATAGTTTTAAAAAGGTAAAATAAAGCCTTTGAGTGGTACCGTACAAAGCAATATAAAAAATGTAACAATTAGCCTTCATCAAAATACAATAACTCCTATTAATAGTTAATTATTATCTTGTAACCCACCACCACATGAGGGAATACACCAGAGAAAAGTATTGTATCAGTACTTCTGTTTGGCTTTTATTAAAGATTTTGTGGTTTAAAGGTGTTGCAGACCATCTGAAAGTATTAGAGATATTTCTGTTATTTATCAAGTAATACTCACTAATACACTTAGCATCCCTTTAATTGATAAAGCTAAATAAAAAAAAAGGACAAATGATCGCACCAATTCTTTTTCTCTTTGCCGAAGGCAAACCATCATTGTTCAAATGCTTTTGGCCCACACTGGGAAGCAGTGAATTCCTCGTCCTCATACCTTTCATAGATAAAATTAAAGGAAATAATGACAAAGCATTACATAAAATCAGAGCCCTTCATTTACATAATCATTTTGTCTATGTATTTACTAGGTATAAATGTTGCATTAAATATGAAATCAGCAAATGTGATATTAACCAAATATGAAGATGCACATCAAGGAAAAACCATCACTTTGAAAAGTACCTGGTAATCCTGACGGTTTATTACTAGGCTGAGTCTGAACGGTTTCTACAGAGGATCGTGTAGTCTGAGGTGTCTTGAGAGCCAGTCTTTTACGGGATGGCGGCTGTAGTCCTGATGGTTTCATTTGCGGTATAGCAGAGCCTGAAGGTTTTGCAACTGCAACCACATTACAGCTTACAGAATACATAATTGATATTTATAATACAACATTAGTAATATAAAAAAAAAAACAAAAAAAAAACATACAGTTATGTACATTGCTGTTCAAAAGTTTGGGTTGTTATGCTCTTTATCAAAAATTATAGTAATATTGTGAAATATCATTATAATTTAAAGTGTAAGCTTTTTCATTTTTTATATATATCATTAGTAATATATATATAAAAAAAAAGTTATGTACATTATTACAGTTCAAAACTTTGGGTTTGTTACGTCTTTTATGGTCAACACGGCAGCTTTGATCAAAAATACAGTAAAAACCTTAATAGGAAATATCATTACAAAACAAGTCTTTTCATTTTTTATATTCTTTAAAGGGGTCATATGATGTTGCTAAAAAGAAGCTTTTGGCCCACACTGGGAAGCAGTGAACTCCTCGTCCTCATACCTTTCATAGATAAAATTAAAGGAAATAATGACAAAGCATTACATAAAATCAGAGCCCTTCATTTACATAATCATTTTGTTTAAGTATTTATTTACTAGGTATAAATGTTGCATTAAATATGCAACCAGCAAACCTGATATTAACTAAATTTGAAGATACACATCAAGGAAAAACTATCAGTGAAAAGTACCTGGTAATCCTGACGGTTTATTACTAGGCTGAGTCTGAACGGTTTCTACAGAGGATCGTGTAGTCTGAGGTGTCTTGAGAGCCAGTCTTTTACGGGATGGCGGCTGTAGTCCTGATGGTTTCATTTGCGGTATAGCAGAGCCTGAAGGCCAGTGCGTTGTGATTGGCCGAATACCTCAAGCGTGTGACGGAAATGTTACGCCCCTTACCATACTATGATGCCGTCCGGCCGGAGCGACGATTCAAAAACATGAAAACCCAGGCGGCGGCGTTATGCAAATCTTCCCACATCGTGATGTAGACATGTGGGGGCGTGTTAGAACGAGCCGTTTTAGGTAGGCGTGGTTGACGCTTAACTTTTATAAAGAATATCTCTTTGGATTTGACACTTTAGTCTTTGCAACTTTACAGATCTTCTTTATGCACCAAGAGCTTGTAACACTCCAAAGAGAAAGGAAAAAATTTAAATCGCATCATATGACCCCTTTAACATTTAATCTTTTCATGTGATGGCAAAGCAATTTTCAGCAGCCATTACTTCAGTGTCACATCATCCTTCAAAAATCATTATAATATGCTGATTTGGTGCTCAAGAATTTCTTATTATTTTATCAATGTTTAAAACAGTTGTGCTGCTTAAATCTTTTTTTTGGAAACTTAATATCAGAATTCTTTTAATAAATTGAAAGCTCAAAAGAACAGCATTTATAGAAATATTTTGTAACATTACACGTCTTTACTATCACTTTTAATAAATTAAGGCATCCTTAATGAATAAAAGTGTTTTAAATTTGTGCAAAAAAAAAAAAACTGACCTTAAACTTTTGAACAATAATATAATTATGTACATGTATGAAATGTGTTTAAAAAAAAGTGTATAAGCCACTCACCAGCAGTGAAGTTATATCCAGTGACAGAAGAAACCATAGAGGTCTGTTTTCAATAAATAATAATTAAAAAAATTATCCATTTTAATCATACACAAGACCAATGTTTGTAAGCAGCTGACTGCTTTATAGCAACATAAAGCATTGAGTTTCCTACCTTAACAGTGCTAGCTGATGCTGCGCTCTTGACAGGTGCGATGGTCTTCCCCTTGTTCATCTGTACGGTCTTCCTGCTGCCAAGCAGTGTGGTGGGTGATGTGTCAGGCTGATGCGGGGCCGGCGGCCCTTGGATTGTCTTTGGTTTGATCGCTACCAAGGAGTTTATTGACAGCTGTGGCCTTGGAGGAAGACTGGATTTGGGATAACTCAGCTTAGAGGAAAGCTGAGGAAGCCGTCTTTTGATTGGAGGTTTTGTGGGAGGTTTGTTCTCATTTGCTGGCTCTGATGTACTGTGAGTGACTTTCTGATTCTGGCTTGAGCTCTCGGTCACCTGCACAGCATCAGTTCCATCATGATTACTTGCACAAACAAGCTCATCATTCGACTGGGCCTCGATGCTGTTGATCACACACAGTCTCTTTCTCATAGGTGTGGGCTTCACGTCTCTCAGTATCTCAAATCTGGATTCTTTGCCAAAAACAATAGGTGTGGATGTAACCAGGAAGCTTGTCTTCATATCCAGTGTATCATCCAAACAAAAAATACTGTTTCTGCTGATATTTCCCATATCAGAAGAGGGAATGGACTCAGCATCCGCCAAGCCAGGTCTTGATGTTTTTTTTTCGTGAGGCTCCTCTGCTTTAAGCTCAGAAGCATCATCAGGAGCATCTACAGAGCAAACAAAAGCTGTGGCGCTTATCCCAACTTCTGTTTCTCTGCTGTTAGAGGCTGGTTTAGTGATACCTACAGAGTTAGAAGCATCATTAACCTGGTCAGCTAATTCTGTGCTTGAGGGCTTCATTTCAACAGTGGTGTCCTTCAAAACTGGAACTTCTGGGTGAGTAAGATCAATGGTTGTATTATGTTTAGTCGTCTCAGCTGGTTTTATAGTAGCTGAGCTCGATTGTTCAACCTCACCAGAGGGTTGAAGAGGAGCACTGGCTATTTGCTCCACAATATCAACAGTTACATTGACTTTTAAATCAGTTTCCTCTGTGTTTTTTTTTTTATCAGCCTCAGTAGAGTTAAAACTACCATCTAGTTTTTCTTGTGACCGAATATCTTTAGTTTCTTCAAGCTTTTCATTTGGCTGTTCTGTAGTAGTGTTTAATGGTTCATTGTTATCAACAGATGAATTGGTTTTAGAGTGTGCGCAGTCTAGATTAGGAATATCCACAGTTGCATTAACCCCAGTGTCAGGTCCCTCTTTAGGGTCATGTGACTGTACCAGGTCAACAGTGGTGTTTCCTGACTCAGTCTTTATATTAGGAACATCAATATCCACTGTTGAATTAAGACTAGGGTTGGACTCCTCCTTTGGCTCTTGAGACTCAAAAGTGTTGTTCTTCTCTCTGATGTTGTGCAGATCAACAGTCGCATTAATACCAGCGTCAGACCGTTCTTTCGAGTCTTGGGTCACATCAAATGTGCTGTTCTTCAACTCAACACTCATAAATTCTGATTTCTCTAAAGATGCAGTGGATACCGTGGCATCATTGCAGTCCCCATTTGCTTTGCCCGCTGTTGCACTGGTAATGTCTTTCTCATTCTGTGGTGATCTAGTAGACGTGCTTCCATTTGCCAACTGACAGTGCGCTCCAAGAGAGCAATTAAGACCAGAGTCATTGGTAGCCTCTTTTCTTGGTGCTAAAATGCCTTCATCCTTATTTTTTGTTTGATTTTCTGATGGCGTGCAAGCAGGGGAATTCAACACAGTTCCTGCTTCATTTGAAAGAATCGGCGGGCTGGCGGTGACATCAAGAAATCCAGACACTTGGGGAAAAGGTTCATCTGCAATTGAATAGAAACTAGAACACAGACCTGGCAATTTGATAGACTGGTAAGAGGAAACAGGTTGTTGAAGGGACGATCCACCCAATACATTGCCACCGGCCTGGGCAAGCTTCCGCCTTAGAAAGCTCTCCATTTCAATAGCAGGGCAGGTCTCTGAAAGGAATAAAAAGTCTGTAAAAATTTTTTGTGGCTTCCTGAAACCTACTTACTGACAATCACACATCTCACAAAGGATGACACGTGTTATAAAAGGAAGCATCAGGTTGAATTCCTTAAATACTGGTCTAAATTTAAACTGAACTACAACATTTACCATAGAAGAACCCAGATGTGTCATATAAACATGTCTGATAATAGTTCTGGTTGTATAACATTACATAACAGATCACAAATACTAAAAGACTTTGTGACTGACAACTGCAACGAATGTTTTTTTATGGTAACACAAAAACCCTTGGCACGGAAAATAAGCACTAAGCGATTTACGAGAACACACTTAATACAATTTCTAGACAAATAAACAGATCATAATATTTAGGAAGCATTGTCGTCTTCTTACCAGATATCTAAACAGGCCGAGTGTTTGATATTTCCGAGTCGATTTGAAAACTGGGACATTCTAGTCATTGGAAGAGACGCTCAGTCCTCGACCAATCAGAGCGACGATCTGTGCGGCGTCAGAAAAATCACAGCGCCCCCCAGTGCTGGCAGTCACGTAGAACGATCATTATTATTATTTATTTCCATATTTATTATTTACTATAACTTCGCCAATAACTAGTATGAAGTAATTATTATGAAATTCTTTTTAATTGTTGTAGAGCACCATAAAGGATATAACATATTTATCTTATATTATTTTCTTAGCTTTTTTTAACCCATTGCTCAGATCACTGTATCTTCTCCAAATATTCATTTCGTTTGAAAATTAAGAGGCTGGGAGGACACTTAAATCTGCAATAGAATATGAAGTGAAATATTTATTTATAATATTTAGGCACATCAAT